AGGCAAAACCAAACCAAGATAAAGACTTTCATGTCAAGGGGAATAGACTGGTGATTGCCAAGGTGAGGAAGGACAAGGGAATGAAGCAAAAGCCATGGCTAGAAGGTTGAAGGGCATTAACTTCGAGATCTTGGAAGGTGGTACAGTCCACAAGAGGGAGGAGAGATCGCCTGGAGCGCGGGAAGGATGAAGTGGGAGGGGTTTGATTAATAGTTTAAATTGCTGAAGACAAAGTAGATGATCTGAAATATAAGCCCCCACCTAATTTATAGTTTTAAACGTTTATCGCTTTTTTGATAGTCTGTTTTATATTTTTATATATCTCCGAAATCCAGGATGGGTAAAACTATAGAGACAGTAACTAGCTAGTAATGGTCCTTGGAGGACGGCAGGGGAGGTGGTGGGGAAATGGGGAGCCAATAACAGAGAGTCTAAGGGAAATAGAAAATGCTCTATAAGGGATTGTGATGATGATTGTACAATGCTTCTTGATCTGATTGAATGACCGAATTGTTTATTTGGATTACGTCCCAATAAAGCTGTTATAAAAAAAAAGTTGACAAAACAAAAAAAAACAAAACACAAAAGAAGTAACTCCTTGAGTAAGATAATAAAGAATAAGAAAACAAGTAGCATCTACCAGTAGCTCACATTCTATTCCTATTGGGCGGCACTGCTCGGTCCCACTGGGCTATGGCGTTATTTTGTGGCAGTTATCTGAGATGATCTTCAGGCTCATTGGCTCTCTCTCCCCGTAAGCTCCATGCGAGCAGTAGTTGTGACTACTGGTTCACTGCCATTGCTATCAATGTGGCTAATTCTCTGACCACTGCTTGGTACGCAAATGACGGTGGAATGAACAAACAACGGTTGGAGATAGCCTCACCATTCCTTGCTACCAGCTTCTCTCTCTATTAGAATAACAACTTGCCAAAACTAGTCAGAGTGTTCTACACTGTGGGCAGAGGAAGGGACAAGAGTTCAAGAATATAGCATCTTTGATAGTAGTTTCTGAGATTCCTATTTAACTTCACTTCGTCTCCCGGATGCTGCGTTCTTTGAGGGAGTGACAACAGACCGATATTAGTCATGGAGATCAGGATTGTAGGAAATCATTGGCTATCTGCCTCTGGTCGACGTTTGCTGCCGGCTCGGGGATTACGGTTCTCCCGTATGCGTCCTCACTGCTTGGCCAGGACCCCACGCGGGACACCGCACAGTGACAGCGAAGTCCCCGCAGTCACCACGTGCTCTGGGCAGTTACAAACTTCATTCAGAAAAACCTCTAAGTTAGCCACCACGTGCCCCTTTCTAAGCTAAGGGCACCGAGGGTTAGGCGAGCTCTGCATGGACTTAGGACCACCGAACCAGCTGGTACGTTCAAATCCAGCTCTCACTGGTTTCATAGGCCACGTAAACACCCGGTTGCCACAGTCCCAACAGCCTTACGAAGGGACCGAACCACACGAGCCACCATCGTCTGATGTAAGAGCCGGCAGCATCCTTGACAGGCACCAATAGCCCTGGTGATCGTCCTCGGTAAACAAGCGGTGATATATAAATCGTGACAGCCCAGGGCTCGGCTGAACCGTACCTGACTTCCAGATGTAGGACCAGCAGGCAGCGGTCGGCCATGTCCTGGAAAGACTTTGCGAGCTCGCTCAGAGTCTGCATGATCTGTTCCGACATCGGGGGGAGATCCGTGTTCCCGTGGCTCTCGTGGGCAGGAGACAGCACTGAGGAGGACAAAATCGGTCAGCTCATTAGCTGCTGCCAGATTATTGACAAACGACCCCATTACCTGGTTGTTTATCACGGTGTCTTTATCCCTTTGGCTCATGCTAATAATGTTGGCAGGATCTGCAGGCCAAAACACGACCAACGATTTCTGAACACACCAGACACAAGAATCCAGTTCATGGCTTAAATCAACTCACAGAAAGGCAGAAACGAAAGCTCGGAGTCGGCAGTGACCAACCGTCAGCGTATGCCTTCGCGTGGCTGTCTATGTCTTGTATGCAGGCGCTAATGTTGGCAAAAGTGAATTTGGCCTCCTCGGAGGTGGCCAAGTCATCTCTCAAAGACGTGACCATCTTCCATGAAGATGGTCCTTAGCAGTTTTCCAGTAAATTCTAACCACTGGCCCTGGGTCTCCCTAGCTTTGCATTCCCAGTTAAGTCAATTACTGCCCTGGGGGTCAGTACTTCACGTATCAGAGAGCGTCCCCTGAAGCCTTCCCAAGCCCAGGCTCCACGGCACCAGTTCTTCAACAACCGCTCTTCACTGGCTTAAAGGAATCATGTTATGATTCTCATGATTCACCGACAAGAAAATGTCCCCGTTTTCCTCTGTCTCCCTTGGAAGGTGGGACTTACGGTCCCAATACATTAAGCACTGAAGAGGGGGCTGCCCGTATAGAGGGAACCATCATCTCTGTTCTCAGGAGACTGGGCAACAGAGCTTGCCGTGAGGCCCAACGTCCTCTTATGGGGTGGAAGTGGTAACACATTGCATTCTGCTTTCAAAGTCCAGCCAGACACGACTTTCCCCTTGGATGACTGGTCCCCATCACCAGACCCAATTTCTCTTATGGACATGGGGCGAGGAACAGGAGCATAAGAATGGGGGATGGCAGCTAGGAGAAGTCATCTATTCTAGCTGATTTCCTGCTGTTCCCAACATTCAGTATGCGTGATTGAACTTTGCATGTTGCTGTTGGGAGAGTAAACTGTTGCGGCAGGCTTGTCTCTCGTGCAACGCCCCTCGCCCCCCTCCCCCCACTTACCTGTGTCTGCTGTCTGGCAAATTTGCCCTTTATTTAATAAGTAAATGGTAAGGTGGGCAAGTATGAGCTAGATATATTGGTATTTTGCATTGAGATGCAAAAAAGTTTATACAAATGTCACAATGCAGCTTTCTAAGAGAGTATGCTATTGATGGAAATGGAGAGGCGAGTTCTCTTGAGAGGGAAGATTCTAGTTCCTACATCAAAAAGCTTAGTCTATCTGTTATATAAATGTCAATTTCTATGCATCAGCATTTCTCGACTGAAGCCATACTGGGTCTCAGGTCAGGGGTCACAGCAGTAGAAAGATAGCAATTTGCAGCCCAGGTGAAGTGCTGAAATCTGGAAAATCCTTAAGGTTATAACTCCATGCTACTAGGGATGACCCCATTGTATGTTTTCCCTCTTATCACTTCATAGTAAGCATCCTCTTGACGTTTTTTACTTGCTAATATGGTTTGATTCAGAAGAATCTGGAAAATGTCAGCAGAGGCGCCTGATGCTTTGACGTCTACATTCCTAAACGCGCTACGCCAGAAGCAGATTTGTCTTCATTTGGGTCATTATGAAAATAACTCATCTGTCCTAGAGAGGTTCCCGGGGTGCCATGGCTTACACATTGGGCAGCTATCTACACGGTCAGTCAAGTTCAAAACCACCAGGAGCGTCACTGGAGAGAGATGTGGCTCTCTGGTCTCATAAAGAGGGGCCGTCTTGGAAATGCACAGGGCAGTTCCACTCTGTCTTAGAGGGTTGCGGTGAGCCGGAGCTTACTAGACGGCGAGTAAGAACGAGGTTCAGGGCTCCTGCTGGTCAACCTTCATCCGGTGCTTGGGTGGGAAATACGTCCGTGTGGTTTGACACGCGACGGAACTGAATCAGAATCCCAGCCCCAGGGCTCACCTCACGTTTTCAGTTCTGAACCCCTTCTGCTTGGCACTCTGGTTTCCTGGCTGTAAACTGACAAGTTAGCTGGCGATGAACAGTCAGCGTGGTTGAAAATAGCAACCGATCATCCGAGTACCTGTCACTGTTTTATAAAACCAACCAACCAACCAGGAAAAATCATAGCCAGGGCTACGCGACCCAAAGTTGGGGTGCATCTTCCTGAGGGCTCATGGAATTGTATGATATTTCCTCGCATGGAAGCTGTAAACCGAGCAAGGAAAGGGCACC